GAAGGCTTCTATTCTTGTTTTTTTTTTTCCTTCTTTTCACTTAGCAGTTCAACGATTTCTTTTAAAGTTCAATCGGTTCAGTCACATCATAGTGTCCCGTTTCTAGTTCCTGCCCTGTTTTCACTCGTTTCAGTCATCATAATACGGTTCTTTCATCATCACTTCTCATCCCAAGGAATCAGGACCCTACTTCTTTTCCCTTTACGTGATGCCTGTGTCCGGCAAGTCGCATATGGCACCTCTACTTTCGACTCCGAGACGGCGTCCTTCTGTTCTCGCGGAGGTTTTGCGGCGGTTCCTCGCCGGGCCTGTTCCAGACGATTGGCCACACACCTATTCTGTTCTTATATGTGACGTTGCCGTCGGAGCTGCGCTGACTCTTGCTTTAGGTCTCTCCATCTTTCATGCCTCAAACACGGTTTACCGCTTCCCTCAATCGAGCGTTTTGCTTGTCTATAAGGCTTCATCTTATCGCCCCTGGCTGCCCTTAGTTCATCACCCAGTTCGATCATGCCAATTCGAGATACCTCTGATCTTTATCGCCTTGGAGGCCCAGGGAGCCGGCCCGATGAAATCACAATCGACCACATAAATGTCCTTAGTGTGCCAGCCGAGCTTACATTACCCAGCTAGATTCGCCTAACTCAAGCATCTGTCCGGAGGATAGGTCCTCTGATAGTTCACAGCGCCGAGACGGGTCAGAGCAGACAATTAGCAGTGACGAGCCAGAGATACAAACCCCGTCTTCATAACGTTTCTTTCTGATATCAAATCTAACGATCCGGTTCAAGACATGATGTTTCACGAGGGTGGAACCACTGTGATTCCTGATTTGAGCATCAATAGTCTGCGGTTCTCCAGAGTGCTACCCTTCTCTGACAGACCAAGAAGATTGAGGATTCTCGACGCTTCCGCACCTGGCAAAAGAAAAAAAAAAAAATTGAGCAAACCATCCCCAAAGGAAGAGGGAATGCACCAACCAGACAAAGTCTTCATGTCCGCAATCGTCCGTGGGAAGTTTGGAATTTCTTCATTGGTTGCGACGTCCCTTAAGGGGACCAGGCCACTGTGGTCCTGTGTAGCCGTTGAATTTTCCATGGCTGCCACCGAATTCACCTCGCTGTTTACCGTATTGCAGATTAGCCATCTGGACTTCGAACGGGGAGAAAGAAAAGCATTTGGGAGAAAAAAAAAAAAAGAAAAAAAAAAAAAAAAAAAAAAAAAGAAAAAAAAAAAAAGAAAAAAAGAAAGCCATCTCCAAACAAACTTACTTCGCACTAAGGAGTGTTGATAATGCGCGAATCGATGTTTTCCAGTTTTCTCTGTGCTCTTACCGTTTCATCGAGGGCTTGCTGGATGCCTGCGAGTGTCTGAAGAATCTCAGAGACTTTCTCAACCACTGGTGACTTGTCACAGTTCTGGGGAGACCCGGAGCCGCCTTCCATTTCAACCTTGTCTGGTTGCTGCGCCGCCATCATTTACAAGATGGCCAAGACCGAAACATAATAATAGGAAAGCAAAAATAAAATGAAATAAATAGATAAGAAACCGAAGTGACAACAATTGAAGAAGCAGTCAAGTAAGTTCAAGGCTGACGCAGCTCGTTGTCGGGTATCACGTGACCTCGTGTAACACCGCGTCAACAATGTTGACGCGCTTCAATTTTATCCACACCAGCTCACCGCTCTGACGTCGGTCTCGAGAAAGGTGACGGGAGTAGCAACAAACTAGATAGTATACACCAGCAGCCCCTTGCCCCGATCCATAGTCCTGAGCGGACTTTCTTGAAGATGGCTTCGACGTCACTCTCTAGCTCATCCCGATCCTACTCGACTGGATCCGACGATGATGCATCTGCTGTCATTTCGGCAGACCATTCGAGTGATGACCCAAGCGATGCTACACCTGAACCGGATGTCTTGGGCATTTATACTGGGCCTGAAGCGGACGCAGTACTCGCCCGAAGTCACAGCCATTGGGGAAAGGCGGTTAGAGCCGCACGAAACGCTCCCCCAGCAACGTTTCCTGCCCATGTCTTCAACCTTGAGGGTCTCCTCCAGCGCATTCCTGCCTTACCCGACTCAATTCCCCCCGAACTCGGTAGTATTCAGGGATATTCTACTTGGGAAAACGCAGATGTTTCCTGCCCCCTCCGTATAAAGAAGGAACTGAATCCCAGCGTTCCCCACGGCTTTGGCCTTCGAGCTCCTGCGCCATACACCGTGTCGACATCGACCTCAACGAGCTTCCACGCGTGGGATGGAACGGACAACAACGGTATCGCTCTCCTCATACTAGGTTGGGCCTATATTCTTTCCAGCACTCTCGCAGAGTCCAAAGGTCTTCCCCTCACAGTTGTCCAGGTGCAAAACATTAGTCGACCACCGACCCCTCCTGTTTCTATCCCAGTTGATCTCAGTTATGCTCGGTCCAAGGAATTTGAATGGTGGAAGACTCTTATTACGCCTGGGATATCGATTTCTATTGGCGATTCGCCTGGGTCGTTTTCGCCGTGGTCTCTTGTCATCGAAGATCTTGCAGGCTTGAAGCTCATCGGCCATTCTGCTCAAACTACATCTCCACATCTACCATCGACTAGACAGGCCGCGGGATACTTGGCAAGGTTCTGTTCTGCTTACAATCTTGGGAACCAAAGCTCAGCAGCGTTGGCAGCAGCTCTTTGCTTCCGCATACACCGTAGATCACGAAGGCTTTCAGTTCCTAAGCTAAGGCTAGTTCTTTCTCGACTCCCCGGATCTACTCGTCCCAGCGACAAACCAACTGTCCCTTCAGAATTTAACCACCTAAGATACTATATGACGTTAGGCTTGTCCCACCATGCTTTGCCTGTCCTATTAGAGAGCATATTTTGGGACCCCAGCATTCCATGCAATCATGCCGGGCAGTGGTTGCGACCGATCCGAATGATCCTAGACCCTATCGTTACATCTGGGGATAGGGAACTCCTTGCAAAGACCATTGCCAATGCTTCTCTCAAGGTATCTCCGTTATGGCTTGGCGTCCTACTCTGTGGTGATTACCCTTATCTTCTAAATATAATGGACTGGTATCACTGGAACTCGAGATCGACCGTGGATGTAGCTGCTTGGACTGGCATCCCTCGATCGTTCTTATCCTTACAGCCAACCGGACCCCACTTAGAGGACGGCCATGTCACCAGGTCCAATGTATGGCGACTTCGGCGCGATTTGAAGGATCGTTACGAAGAAGAAGATTATTCACTTGAACCTTTCGGCCCTTTTTGTCCATTCGGATCTATGCAGGTCGCGGACATCGACCTCGAGCTTCGCGATCATTTACAATGCTCCCATCAGTGGGTATACCAAAACTGGACATGGCTGCATAACTCAGCCACGGATACTGGGTTCCGTCCAACCAACACCCCAATCCGAGAAGATGGTTGGCCAAGCCGACAGTACCCACTCGCCTATGTTTCGCAATGCGTGGAGAAGCACAGCAGCCCAGAAGATATTGCGGCCATCCAAAGAGTCTCCCGGACTTCCACAGAGTGGACGTTCAAGTGGAGTGAAGACCAAGTGGAAAAAGGCTTCACCGGGCAGGTAGTTCCGCCTTGTGATTCTCCTAGCGACGTTCCGCTTAGTGGCGATGGTGAAGAGAGTGAACGTGGCTCGGCTGGTACTTCAAGATGTACTGCGGAACCTGTATCTGTACAAAGTTGGTTGGATGGACTGCCAACTTCGCGTCATATCCCCCACAGCTCTGTATGGCCATCTTCTTGTAGATTCGGCCGTTTCGGGAGGTCGGTAAGTTCATACGATGATGCTGGGTTACTACTGGGAGGACTGCCTTGACAGAAACTAGAGGGTACACGCTTAATCTAGATTCGAGAGAGTCAGTCTCCTTTTTCTTTTTACGAGGCATCGAGGAGTTAAGAGGGTATTTGCACCCCGCTCTCTACTTGCGCCGGAAGGCGGTGTCAGTCAGCTTCGGTTTCGATAGGAAAATCGATGTTAGTGAGAATGTTTGCAAAAAATCATCAGCGACAAAGAGAAGGATGTCGAAAGAGCGGATAAGGGAACTGACGAGAGGTGTCCATATCGCTCGATAGACATGCCAGCGACTGCGACGGGGCTTTGTGAACAACATGGCGGGTAGCGAGGCCTCGTGAGACCTCGTTGGTAATGCTCGAAACTGGTGAGGATGGCCCTGGGCTGAATCGTTGGGGCTATATCCGGTCGTCGCCTCTTGCTAGCATATCAGGCGAAGTGAAGGTTGTGTGTGTCATTTCAAAACCAGCAATGGAACGACCAGAGCTCTGCGAAGCACGACGAGAATCATCCATTTCAGGCCTGCACCACCACTTCCGTCCTCCATGACCAACAATAAGGAACTTTCTGGGCCTGGAGAGAATACTCGCTCAAAGTGAGCTTTTGAAGATTCGCCCACCAGAATGTCAAAGGCAGTAAATGCGGCGCCTTCCTTACAATTCCACGACACTCCATTGTTGCTAGTTGTAGACAATGTAATGTCCGGTTCCCTGCCCGACTCATTCGAAGTGCTCTTCATGGTGTTTTATTTAAGTCCCCTCAGGATGCGCCGCTATCATGACAACATACTCTCTCCTCTCGCAGCCCTCTCAATAACTTTATACTATCTAGCTCGTCAGTTTACTCATAATCTCCGTTCTCTGTTCGAACATGGACCCCAATATCTTCGCTCTTCTCATTCCCACGAGTCCACTGGCACTCAAAGCCTTTTATTTACCAGAAAATCGGCCTTGCTTCCGTGCCGGATCGCGTACCATCGCCGAGCATGCTCTACTAGGCAGCAGTGACTCAAACCCAGGTCCCGAAGCCTTTGACGGCATGGATTGCCTTGCGCTTCTTTTCAGTAATCCCGCGGAGCGCTTGGGCGACCATGCCTTCCGATGGGGGTTAGGGACAAGCCCGAATATCTCGCACGTCCTTGTAGGGCCACCGGACACTTCTTATTTTGGCTTCTGCCATTTCATCATCACAATGACTCAAGAATACCACATTATTCTGCAGCAGCCATCTACCACAGAAATCATCGTATCTCATGACGGCCAAGCTACCGTCGTAAAAAGCGATTGGGTACTTCTCTCCTTCCCTCCAGATGAACTCGACCCATGGCGTCACGTCCGTATCTCAGTTGGCAAGTCCCCCCGACATCTCGAGTTCGAAATCGTTTTCCCGAACCACAAGAAGCAACCGCTTCAGGATCAATATCTCAACAACTTGCGCGCCTTCGTCGACACTAGCCGCTCAGCACTACCACGGCTTCGTGGCCTCGACCTACACGACATTCGGTCTCCCATATCACAGGCCCCCGTGTTCAAGGATGTCTTCCACGTAATAAGGACGGAAGGGCGGGGCGCTCACGGAGTCGTTGACCAAGTTGTTAGCCTTCGCAATGGGCGCTCCTTTGCTAGGAAGTCATTCTTCGAGCCGACCCCTCAAACCGGCGAGAAAAGACGACGTCGGGCCCGGGAGGAGTGGTTGTGGCGGATACGGAACGAAGTCAACCTTATGAAAAACAATTCCCACGTAAGTTTTGGACACCATCCCTATAATTAAGAAAGAAGGAAGGCGAAAGATAGAAAAAAAAAAAAAAAAAAAAAATGGAAATCACATTCTTACAACCAGCGCAGCCAAATATTATCCAGTTGATAGACTTCCAAGAACGCCCAAGACCAGCGATACTTATGCCTTATTACCCTCACGGAAGTATCGAAAAATTCGCAGGGCTTCACTCTCTTCGCGAGTCGCAATACTTGCTCGCTTTCTTCCAACTCCTCACCGCGCTCGATCACCTACACAGCCGCGGAGTTGCCCACCGCGACGTCAAGCCTCAGAATATACTCGTTACCGAGGTCAACCCCTTTACCATCGTCTTGTCCGATTTCGGTGTTTCCAAGTTCAGATCCCGGCGCAGCCCGCTGGAATCGTTTTGCGGTACGGAATGCTACGCAGCCCCTGAAATCTTCCCCGGAAAGTGTCCCGCCGAAGGCTATACCGTCGCGGTCGACATATGGTCGGCAGGTGTAATGATGCTCGATTGGGCCTTCGGCTACCCGGAATCCCCTCGGTGGGCGAGCTCGCAGCAAGGTTTAGAGTACTGGTGGAAAGCGCTCGTGAGAAAGGTTGACGGTTGCAAAGCCGACGACGAGGTCCGCGACATCTTGAAGCACATGGTTGTTATGGAACCTAAAGACCGCTTCAGTGCGAGGCAGTGCATAGAGAAGGGATATCAGAACGGGCTCTTCCACGTGGATGAGGATAGCCAAAGAATATTGGTTCGTACGCGCACTTGCGAGGATGAGCGTCACGGTGACCCCAGCACAGAGTGCGGTTGCCACCGTTCCAATGATAACGGCCGCTCGGCCGGCTCCGCAGAAGCGCCAGTGAATGAGGTCTTGGCCTCTCCTCTTGAGAACCGCGAACTCGACAGCGAGCTGTACCTGGCCTGGGAGGCATCTTCTCTCAGCAACTCTCCGGCCCGGAAAAGACGCAAGCTGGCGCCTCGCAGCCAGCTGAACTTGCCACAGTCTAGCGACTCTAGTATGAGTAGTTGATGATGCGGATGGGGATTTTTTCACTCTTGGGCCTGCGGCAACTTTGCAGATTAATGACTGGCAAGGACCTCACGTCTGATCCAGAGCGCTCCCAATCGCCCAGCACAGGAAGAGATTGTTTGACGCAAATATCAACCAATAGAACATTTTACTAGAATATGCATAGGTGTTGGCGATGATGTGCGCCCGGGAAGCCCGTCCATCACGCCCGTTGTGACGTCTTCGCGGGCTCCGTTCCTCCGACGCCGACGTATCCTCCGGTTCCTTGGCAGCCCCACCCCGGCATCCCGAAGAGGGTTTGCGACACTGGGCCGTCGACTAGAAATAACTTTGGCGGGATTTCGTCCGCAGAACTCTACCAAGTGGTATTCTTTTCACGGTTATTATAATTATCATTATATTAATATTGTTATTGCCATAATGTATTTTTTTTTATCCGACTGCAATATCTAAAAACGGGACGCTCCTTTACACCCACATCGGGAGGCGCGTCCTCTTCGGAAGACAAGCAGGGTGTCGCGTTCACATTGCACCCTCAAGCCATTCGCCCTTAATTTGTGCCTGTCTCACGCTGACGTAAGTCATCGACCAGGAGGCCCCCCATCGCTTTGCAGAAGAACCCAGTTTGAATAGGAAGGAATCTCGGGCAGTTCGTGTCCCCACCAGCACTTCTGCACTCCTCATTTCCCACCTCTTTGACGCCTACCGCAAATCTTCGATCGAGCATAAGTCGCCTGACTGCATCATAGTGTCTGGCACGGGCTTCTATCAAGAGACACGGTGCAGTGGTTTACATGAACTGGGATATATCGAGGATGTGTTGCAGCTGAGTCCGAGCCTGAGGTAGAGGCGAAGCCATTCCTGCTCTTCATTTACAGTCAGTTGTTAGGGAGTACTGAACTATCGAAGACACTGATCCAGACGCATGACAGTCCCGCGACAGTGACAGGATGCTGTCCTCGCCGTGAGAGAGTATAACGAGAGACCCCGACAGCCCAACCCAGGAGTCTACAGTCCTCGCCTCTAGTACTACGCGGATATCGTAGGCGGCAAGCTACATCCATCGGACACGCCATGCAACAGCTGAATCGATCGCTTTTGCCAAGGAACAACGTCCGTACGGATGAAGACATCGTCAGGCTGTGCCAACCCGCATATTGCACCACGCAAGACGCGCCACGAGACCCCTTCATAGGGCCAGGTCTGCGGGAACAGACTTTGATTTGATGAGGTAGGCTCTATTGTGGCATGAGGGCATAAGTGTGCTTATTATGCCTTGTCAGCTTTGCCCGGAGCTAGACAATTGTGGCTTAATCTTGGTTGTCTCTCACGATTCCTTAAGGATATTGTAGTCCTCGACTTGAACTTTGTTGTCCACTTATACAAAGCTCGAGATGTGCCCGATGGCAGCTATAAGGCCTGCGGGGGAGTTAAGAAATATGAAATCTGTTCCTAGATTGGCCCGCAAAGATCGAGGATCCCGATCTACCATTGTGTTGCAAACTCGCAGCCCTACTAACCTGTGGAAATGGAACGAGAGATACTCCAATCGCCGGTATTCTTTTCCCGGCACAACTTCATACGTTTTTCGAGTGTCATATCCGTCGTCTAAAGCGCACACTTGTTGCGCGTCATCCCTCGTGGCTTTCAGATGGCGGTCAAGGCTATCTGCTTCAGCCTGGATATTCTTCGGGTTACACCTTATTATGCAAAAGCCCATCTTTCTTTCACTGCCATGAGGTGCTCCTCTCTTGATTAGCCATATCGACATACCCCGCGGCTCATGGACTAGTAGAATCTCGAATCGAAATTTGCATAGGTGAAATTAGCTCCCGGATATGACCATTCATCCGAAAAGGTTGAAGTTGCATGAAACCATCAGTAAGACGAACTCGCACGCATATCATTTCGTAAGACTAGTAACGATGACACCACGTCTTGTGCGATATCCGGATCGAAGAAGAGCTGAACATTCGACGCCAGAGCATTTTCGTTTCTATGTCCCCCTTTGCCTCACCGGACTTCGGATGAGTAGCCGCTATTCTTCTAGAAGACTGACACGCCGACCAACCTTGCTGTGCGGATGGAACGCTGAAGAGGTCCGGTCGGAGATGTATAAAATTCAAATACGCCACCGACGGAGATTCATTTTCCTCTCAAAGACAAAGACTAGATTTGCATCCGAGACAAGGGTATTTTCTTGGAGCTTGGCTCTTCTCCCCTTTCTTTTCTCCCTGGGGCTGGATCCGGTGGAGCATGCGTGGAACCATGCCGAGCGGCCCCTCCAGCAAGGCAGGATATTCAAGCCACAGATATCAAGACAGATTCCAGTTAACACCGAGAAATAAGGAAAACGCATCAAGCGCAGGTCTCTCTCTCTCTCTCGCCCTCTCTATTCTGCTTGCCCATGATCAATGATGGTCTTCTCCTTCCCTCTTCATTCTCAAAATATATCCAGACGCGTCTGGGATGCAATGGGAAGTTCCGAGCACAGCAGCACGGGAACATGCAGCTTGTCCAAGGTCACGGTTGTTTTAGGCCGCCATTTCTCTCTCAGTTAAATCTTCCATACGAGGCCCGATTCTAATCCAGGCACGGCAACCTGCATGCACTCTTGGGCGCAACTACCAGCTCGATGCCCAGCTTCTCTAACTGGAAAAGGATTCGGCGTTGCGTGTCTGCATTTATTGATCTCGGCGCTCGAGATTACGAGGTAATCTCCGGCCATTTGGGATACCAGTGGCGTCTCAAGCGCTCTCTCATGGGGCCTCAGCCCTCTCGTGTTTTGAATATGGCTTCTTCGTATCTAAAGGTCTTGTGGGATGAGTAAAGAGCAAGCGAGTGGTCGATGAAGCTGGAGGGAGAGATCGGTGGCAAGGACGAGATGGGTGAGTAAGGGAGAGTTGGCCCAATATCACCGGGGCCACGGGCCATATTCTGTGTCTCTTCCCCAATACGGAAATGTGGAACGGCAGGAAGTGCTGGCGGGAGGGCTCCGACAAGATGTGCTTGATCTTAGTGACGAGTCCGTATGTATTTCATGAGGACCTGTCGGCCTTTCGTCCATTGCCTCCATTCTATTCCCCCTCCTCCGCCTTTCTGCGTATTCCCTCACCTGCTTCGTGCGTCGTGTATGCATTTCGTCTCGCCCTTCTGCGTCGTTCGCATGTCGTCCTCTCATTTATGGCTCTCGTCCTCGTAAGGGTATCCTCGTATATACCCGTCGTCTGACCAAGAAGAGAAGGAGCAACTCAGGCTTACCAATTCTGTTGTATATGGAAAGAGCATTTTGCCATCATTGACCAACATCGCCCAAGCTCTGCAGTGGTACCTCTCACCCTCATCCCCAACCCCCCTAAGGAAAAACAGTACGTCGCCAAACCCCTCTAACTTCTTCTAGTACAAGCCAACGGGCGCCGTAGACACAATGAAACATCACCCCCGAGAAGAAGACTGCGACGTGTCAACAAAGAAATGGGGTTCCTTAGCCACCGATGTACGAGATAGCGAGGAATGCATCCTCGGTTGCCGCCAGAGGTTCGTCTCGGGTGTACTTGCGGAGTCGGGGAAGCCGTCGACTGCTAGTCTGGCAGTAGAGACGACCGATGAGTTGTGCGAGGTGCTCGCCTCTTCAGCCGATCACAGTGGCGCTGAGAGGATCTCTGCCTTTTATCGGCTGTATTGTTGTGATTCAGTGGTTTGTGGGGTATGGTATAATGAAAGTGCTGGGATCTTTGGGCAGGACCGTGAGGACCTTCCTGCTTCCCTCGTAGGATTCCTTATCGTTCCTTGCATTTGATGCTGACTTGATGTCCCTCTAGCTAATGTCGACAGGATCATAAACGAGTGTCATAGGTAAGAACAAAACTTGCAAACCTTCTCCCCAGGCTACAAATTATGTTAGAACTAACGAGACGCCGCTTAGCAAAGGATATACGGATCTCCGGGACCCGGGTCTTCCAAATACCGACTTCGAATGCCCAGATTCCTCCGTCTACCAACCGGGCGAGAAGAAAGCCTGCTCCGCCAGCCTCAGAGCAGCAGGTCTCGAGGACTCTTCGGCACCCAGCCCAGCCTCAGCCCCTCCGTCAACCCAACCGGCTTCGTCTCTACACCCATCTCTCACACCGTCTGCAACTGGCGCCACATTTCCAGAAGAAAACCTCACCGCCAGCGCTGACGGCGCAAGCCCATCCTCTTTAGGAACCAAATCCGGAATGGGCCCCGGCGTAAAAGCGGCCGTGGCTGTCGCATCCATCGCTGCCTTCCTCGCAGTTCTCAGCTTCTTCGTCTGTTTGTGGCGCCGTCGTAAACGCCCTCTTCCATCCGCCCCAAACGAGTACAGATGCAGCTTCCGTTCCAGGATCAAGCACGGAGGTGAGAGTATAACAACCGCTCCGTCATCCTTTACCGCCTCTCCGACCAGCTTCATCTCTCCTCCGCCGCCACCAAAATCCTCCTCTTCCACAACACTTGGAAACGGTGGGCCTTTATCATCTCCGTTACGTCTCAAGGACAGGAAACTCCTCCCTACGTTCGTAAATGATGCCGCTCGCAAACCACCGCACGGTAACCGCCATAGATTGGCTCGTTCCCCGAGCGATTCCTTTCCCACGTCGCCTCTTTGTGCGCCAACGACGAGTAAGCTCGAACCAAGACTTGAACGCGGTCTCTACTCGGGTTCCAAGCCGACTCCTTTCCACAACCACGGGACCCAGGGAGGAATACCAATAAGCAGGAGCGCGAGCACTACTGGCTCCGTATCCGGCACCACTACTACCACAGCTTCATCTTCCTCCACGCCTGTTGTCGTCGGCGGAGCAATACCGCCTCCTCCCTCATCACCTACACGTCCGCCTAGACCACACGACACACCATTGGAAATCCCGGGCCTCGTCACTCCCGCCACAAGTCCCCGCGCTTTACAGAGCCCGGCAGTTCCCCCGCCAGCCTTGCCGCGGGATATAGGCGTCGCGGTAAGCAGTAGAGACAAAGGGCCATCCGGCCAAACGATCTCCGCGGAGTCGAGTAGCTTATACGACCTGACGGAGCAGTGTGCGCGAGAAGAGAGGGAAAGCTGGGGTATGTTCCGCACCGCGGGCGGAGGTGCGCCGGGTGTTTCGGTTTCGGCTTCGGGGAAAGAGGGTGGCTTGGCGAGTCCGGTGTTGGGCGAAGGTGAGCTGGAAAGGATGGGCGGCAAGTATAATTGAATCCGGAGGGGTTTTCTTTCTTTCCTTCTTTTATTTCCTTTTCATTTTCGTTTCTCTCTTTTCTTTTCCCCGCCCCCTTTGCCAGGGTTGAGTTGTAATCGAGGTTAGATAGTGAGCAAATGTTGAATCCATCAAGAAAAAGTGAAGTACACAGTCATTGAAGTTTTGATATTCATTTCCGTCTATGATATAACCACCACATAACCCATTTTTATTTTGTCTTTTCTCTTTGTTTTCATTTTCCCCTATCATCCAATACTACGTAGTCTCTGGCTTCTTCTCCTCGGGCTTCTCCTCAGCCTTCTCCTCACCCTCCTTCTTAGCCACCGCCGGATCATTCTCATAGCCCTCAACCTTAATATCCTTCAATCCAAGCTCCTCCTCCTCCTCATCCGTCCGCTCATACTTCACCCTCGTAATCTGCGGATCCGGATTCGGGGGATCCACCAAACTCTGCACATAACTACTCGCCAACGGATCAGCAAGGATGACTGTAAACGGCTTCTCGCCCGCAATAGCGAGATCTAGATTATCGAAGAAAGACTTCCACGTCTCCTTCTCATCGCTGGACAGCGAGTCACCACCGCCGGCGCCCGACGCGTCGGCCTGGAAGATCTGGTTATGCAGATCGCCGCGGACCTGGGTGAAGAGGCCCTCGACGGTGGTGAAGCGACCGCCCAGGGTTCCGGGGTTGACGGAGAGGTTGAGCTCGGGACACTCTAGGGAGCAGGTCTCGCTCTTGAGGATGTCGCGGCCGAGGTCGCGGGAGTCGCGCACTTCGAGGGTGATGCGCTCGCCGAGCTCGGGGATCTCGCCGCCCGTCTTGACGTCGTTGGAGCGGTAGCCGCAGGCGTCGCAGACGGTCGACATGAGCACGACTTGCTTGAAGTGAGGAATGTCGACCATCTTCATGTGCGTCGTGCAGTTGTGCATGCAGCCGGGGCAGGTGGCGGGGAAGCTGTAGACTTCGTTGGGGATGATCTCACCCTCCTCAGTGAGGCCAGGTTGCTTGGGACCGGGGACGAGTGTGGCGCCGTCGTCAGTGGCCGAGAGGCCGAGAGCGGCGTTCTGCTCTGGGGTCCTGAGGAACTCGTGCTTCTCCCACTTGCCAACACCATCGGTAGGGTTCGGCGCGATGAAGGAGTTACCGGCGGGGTCGTCGATGGCGACGCGGAAGGGGAAAGACTTGCCGTCGAGCATGTCGCGACCCCTCTGGACCACACCTGCAATCTTCTCGTATAGCTCCGGCTCCCTCTCCTTGCGGACATCTTGGTTCAGCTCTAGGTCGTCAAGTGCGGTGCGTAGAAGACCCTCGATGTTGCTGAGCTGGCCACGGCCCGGTGGCATCTCGAGATCTAGCTCGATAAACTTTGCCGTTGCTGAGTCGGCCTTCACGATCTGGCGCGAGAAATCGGCCATGTCGGTTAACCTAAGCTCGTAGTAGGAGCCCTTCGGTTGCACCTCGGAGGCAGTCTGGATTTCATTATTGCGGAAGCCACAGTGGGGGCACTCAAAGGACATGAGGATGATTTCGCGGAAGTAAGGGATCGCGGTGAGGAAGAGGCGCGTTACTCCCTGGACACAAGATGTGTGGTTAGCATGATATTGAACGGGCTATGGAGGCAGAGAGGCGCAAACGAGAAATAACTCACATTCTTCTCGCAATTCATGCACAGCGATTCGATTTCTTGGACGACCTTCTCATCATCTTCCTCAGCTCCCTCACCGTTAGTCGGCGCAGCGACCTTGTCGACCTTGCTTCCGATGGCCTCGAACTCGGAGGGGCGGGCGGGGTTGGCTTGCGCCGTAGGTTTCGTCTCTTCGGCGGACATGATTTCTGGAAAATTCCGGGGTATCTTTCTATATTCTCGTATTCTTATCCTCCGTCTTTCTGCGTCTAGAAAAGAAAAAGAACCGATTGGAAAGACGAAGGAGATGAAGGAACCGTCGCGACGGCTGCGGGTGATATGTATGACGATTTTGGTCTTGCGATTGGATTTATGGTGGGGTAATTTTTTGGCTTCTTTTGGAAGTCGATGGGACCAGAAAGAAATTTTTGCTTTCTAATCAATCTGATGGAGGGGTAATTTTTGCAGGCGAGCTGACAAGGATACCAACTGCAGAGCCAGTGGTCGTGGGCTGGCCCATAGCGGGGCGGTTAGTGGGTGTTAGTGCTAACGTGTGCCTGGAAGCAGTGGAAAGTCGCCTCCCGATAGAGCTTTCGCCACTGAACTAGATTGAGCTTGGGGGTGCTGGAACCTTCTGGCTGAGGCTTGATGGTGCCTTGACCGACCCTGTTCGCATACGCTCTTGGCTCAGATTCGGACTCGAACCGGGGATTTCGTAGAATAGCTTGTTGCCGAGGGAGTAGAAAGCCTGTGTTCACTTCTTCATAAAACTGGCCAGGGACAACCCGGCGCTTGGCTTAGAAGCCTTGCTATCAGCCAGGAGAGCCTGGAGCCCGGCCTTCCGGTTCTTAGCTCTCTTCTTGCTGATGGCATTAGCAGACGTTTTGACGCTTGAAGCTTCCGATGCTTTAGATTTTAGGTCGGACGTCGCCAACTTCGACCGCTGAGCCGCCTTCACACGTGCTACAGAGGGAGGCGGCGGCAGTTGGATCTCGGTAACCCTGCCGCATCGATCGCAGGAGATCGTCTTCGAGATGCCCATGCGCTCAAGCTTCTCCTGCGCGATTCCTTCTTTCTTTTGAGTGGCGCCTCCGGCGTCTGATTGATTCGAGAACCGTTGGTTTGACTTCTGTTGCACTCGCCTTCGAAGAGCCTTGTCCGATTCGATCTTTAGGATTGCGCTGCATCCAGGTATAAGGATGTTGCCGCAAGCCATGCATACGTGTTCCTTCTCGACATCCGAAATGGGGATGCCGTTGTTGGATGTAAGAAGGTTTCTTCGGCTCATGAGATGGGCAGAGACTTCAGGGGCAGAAGCCGCGAGCATGTGCGCGGCATCGGTGAGGTAGCTCAAACGAGCCTGGAGTCCCAGGGTCGCCATGGCGCAGTGGTATGGGTGCTATGGGCTATTTTAGCATTCGAAGTACAAAAAGTGCCATCAAGGTGAATGAAAGCTGAAGTGAAGTTGAAGTGTGGTGTCGAGTCGGGATGTTGAAGGAGACGAGGGATTGGTTGTTGGGAAAAAAAATTGTTAGTGTTCTCCGAAGAGGCGCGGTCGCTATAAAGCTCGTGGAGGGATCAAATGTTAACCCCTGCACCTCCCACATTCCAAGGACGAACCTCACATCCGCTTACACTACACTTCCGCCTCGCAGCTTTAATTTTTCAAATTTCTTTACTGATTATCTTATTTAAATTATGACCGGACAATCTCCCACTTGAGATTCGTGATGCCGACCTCCTCACCTGCCTTCTCATCATAATCAAACCATTCTCCCTCTGTCAGGTCAATGGCAGTGAACTTAGTTCCCGAATCAGTTCCCTCCGCCAACCACTCACCCTATAGGCACGTTTAGCACAACATTCAATACTCTTTCATTTGCAAGCTCGAGGGTGGTGCTTACATCGGGTTGGAACTCCACAAACTCGAGACCGCGGCAGTCGAACTCGACAATCTTCTGCTTCTTCGGCGGGTCATTCTGTTCATATGCTGCTGGCGCAGCCTTGATATTGGCAGATGACTCTCGCTGTTTACAACCATTAGTCCCAAAAAGGCAGAAAAAAAAGGAGCCCGAACCACGTCTGGGAACTGAGAGATTATATCTTGCCTTGCAGTTCTTGCATTTCCAGACAAAGTTGGCCTCGCCACGGCTCCCACTCATCTCATTCATATCCTAATGCTGCATGTTAAGATAACTGGTTCCCCTCTAGAAGCACCGGCATTCAAGCAGACTAGAAGCTCATACAAATCGACTAAGGGCAACATTATTCCCATGGGTCTCCCGACAAGACGTGCATTGGACCTTGAAAGTGTACCAGAAAGGGTTGGCCTCTGTGTCGTTTGGCCGGAGATTGGTAACTCTGAATCAAACATCGTGTTAGCCATCGAGCGCAGTATCGCCATTTCAACTCCAGCGTGGGAACCACTCACCCGGAGAGCTCTGCTGTGAGTACGAGGGCAAGCATTGTAAATATAAAAGATGTGTCGAATGATAATACGAAATCTGGTCGAGATCACTTCAATGATATGGAACGAGGGGCTTTTTCCTACTGCCCCTCCTTGAGCTGCCCCAATCCACCAGCTTGAGCACAGACCAACAAGGGAACTTGCACTCGGAAAACATGCCTTACATAATCACCCTCCTCTTCACTCCCGCCGCGGAACGACCTGATCAGACTACTTTCACGTGACCCCAGTCAATTCGACATCAGACCATCTCGTGAAGCAGCAAATGCAGAATTGAAGGGCATCAAATCGTTCAAACCTATGCCTTGATCGCAGCTCGAAACACCGGCGAGTCACCACCATCTCTTCGACTCCCCTGCACCGCCAATGCCTCAATTATGCAGGGGTTCTTGACGAGAGCTGGCTCAGCGCGCAATTGCCGCTGCAAGACCTGCATCGACGTCGCCAAAACCATTGTCCGGAGATCCACCACGGCCAACACCAAGGCGGTAGAAGGAAGATACCGAACCGCCTTCACGACCCTATACACGAGTATATTTGCGACTGCAGCCGTAGTCGACGCCAAATGGAAAGATGATCGGAGGAGGGAATTAGACGCCCAAATCAGCGAGGCCAAGGAGGCCGTCGCGCGGCTCCAGCTCGAAAATGCCTCTCTTGAGGCGGAGCTGGGACCGGGAATTCTTGAGAGGGCGGGATATAAGAGGACGAGAACCACCACGGAATCTGAGAATTCGACGCTAGCAGAGACAGCGGTGGAAGCGGACCCTATCGAATTGCCCACGCGGAAACAGACGACAGACTTTTTCGAGGAGCATGGCGGGCAACATTGGGATGTTTTCCATCGCGAGCATTTCAGGAGGACGACTAAGGCATTGACTCGGTGGGATTACGATATGCTGGATTTATGGCTCAGGCTCGAAATGGAGCAAGATAATGAGGCTGTGTCGATGCCGGTCGACCGAGCCGAGGACCAAGAGTTCAACGTGATACAACTAGTCGACTACCTACTACTCGAGCATGATCAGATATGCGCCGAGCAAAAAATGTCAAGCGAGCCGACTCCATTGCGAGTCGCTATCGAGAAGCTAAAGTCAACGTGGCTCCCTCGTTACCAACCCCCCACTATGGCCCGAGCCGCTCGAATACAGCTCGCCGAGGACATTGTCCAAGACATCGATTCCAATGTCACGGGAACTGTTGAAAGAATCTGCTACAACCTCCTCACTTCGCAATCCCCCATTACCCTATCCTTCTATAACACTCTTATCGTTCATTTGACCAGAGCGCGGCACCACCGTCTTGCCCACTGCGTCGTCAAGTCGCGATTTACACACTTCAAAAACCAGGATGACCCAACGGCAACTGGAGTTGTCTTGTATCATGACATGGCATTTGGAAACTATGCGGCTGTCCACCGCAGTGCCTGGTCCCTCTTCCAGCAAGGTTCCGAGTACTTTGCTCAAAATGGTGAATTGATGCTTGAAGCTATTGTCCGGGCCTTGGCGGGCATCTTCAATGTTGCGGATGCTGTCTCGGCATTCTGTTACGGATTTTCCTCGGGCATAAATGTCCATCCGAAAGTGCTTGTGGATCTTATCGGACTTTGCATATGGAAGCTAGACCCCGCACCAGTGGTGATGCTCCTCCGCGCCTTCACCGAAGAGCAGGAGAGGTTCGAGGCCATTCTCAAACACAGCCACACGACGCAGTCGATATTACTGCACCAAATCAATTACCTTTTGGATATAACCAACCTCTGGCAGCAGAGCCCATCATCATCACGGGAGCTCAAGCAACGGCTTCAAGAGTACGACCTCAACCCCGAGGCCTTCCGTCAATTCCGCTCTATGATCACCCGATTGGACGTCGAGCGACAATGTAATCAGATCGACCACACGATACGGAGGATAAACAACAAGCTGGGCCTGGGCAATGGCGGCATGCCAACATCGCCTGCGAAGCTTCAGACCCGCTTCGAGCGCGCTCTCATCGAGGCGGCGGACTTTGATTCTCACATGAAGGCGGCCATGCCTAGATCGTGGATCCAAAAGAAGTCGCAGCTGACCAACCCGGGTCTTACTAAGAAGGTCTTGCGTAATGCGAAGTACGGGAAGAAGAAGCCCTTGAAGCAGGGAATGGCGGATGTCGAGCCGGTCTGGACGAGGGAGGACTATGAGGCTGCGCGGGCGAGCTTGAGAATGGTTGTCCGTGCTAAGGAGTCGGCGGCGGAGGCAGAAGGACAGGGCGTCTTCGACGTCTCAGCACGAGAAGGCACCTCTCTCGATGTGTCGCCGAAGGCCACTCCCGGCCTCCCCCTACAAAGTTACTCCCTCCCCACCGGACTCCCCCTAGAAAACCCAACGGCCGGGTTCCCGGTAGGCGGCACCCTTGACCTCCTAAGGCCTAGACAGGCGTCCGCAGCGCAATGGGGCCCTGTACATGGGGGTTATGAATATGGGAGGGAGGAGCAAAGGGCCGGAGCTCTGCATGGCTGAAGGGGCCAACCTCCAGGTCAAATTTTGCATATCAGTACCCCGGGACTGCTGTGTTTTCCGGCATCCCTTGTCGCACAAACGAAGCGGCAATAACAGCTTAACGGGAGCTGGCATGGATGATTGTTGAGCGTATAGACCCGTGTACATATCACTTATTTGTCCCTCCCCTCACCTTTGTTTTCCTTTTTTTTTTTTTTTCCTCCCCTTTTTTCCTCACATTTTTCTAGGTATAGAGGAGAGACGTCATATTAGTTAGCATGCATTGACGGATGGACAGCATTAACCCGAAAAGAGGTGGAATAAATCTTCGTTTGCTTTTTTTGATAAAAAATAAAATCGCCGCAAGGGTTTTCGTTCTGATTTTTTCGTTCTGATTTACGCTACGCATCTACCCGTAACTTTATTACTATTCCCATTTACGTTTTGATGGCTTGAGACTCTCGTCTTGATAATGGTTGCTTTTGGACGGGATCGTTTGACTTAGAGGGGGCGGTCAAGGCATCCAGTCAGGATGAGCATCTGATCCACGGGCGGTACCAGTGGCCCGGATTGACTGGCTGTTGGCGGAACGGGCGGAGTGTGGGGATGGGGAAAGTCGAAGTTTGTTGGGCCGGCAAATGGGAAAGATGGCAAAGTCTTTGTCCGGATACGGGAAGGGATTTGCTTCGGATGTTCCCGCGTAGGGACTCGTGTTCGATTTGATGCTTTCTATTGTACGGATGACGAGGAAGAAGCAACAGCTTAGTGACAGCCAGGCTTTGCCATTCCAACAGAGGACCGGAGATACTATGAAAGCTGGCCTGTTCAGGAGGTTTAGAGGGGTTTGCCCGTTACCAGCTGACTACAACTGAACCGAGAGATCTCCGAACTTGGGTCCGGACCCCCCGACTCTGGGGCAAATCGGGGAGAATAAAAAGACTGGAAGTTGGAATTCCATCAATTCTATCAATCGAGCTTTGCGGGTACTACTTCGTATATACTGATTCATGCGCATAGGAAGGCAAGCTTCAATGCAGAGTGTCACGGGCAGCTCTGGAGACAAGAAAAGGCAACGACAAATGATTTATAAACGGGATCCAGAAAAAAATTCCGACTAGTGGTCCTCACCTGACTTTCAGAGGGGCGAGCTAGAGCGTCCGCGGATGTCTCGAGGCTCGAGGTTTCAAGAGACGGTGAGTCAAGTTGGGAGTACCTGCCTCGGCGTGGCAAGGTGAAGAACACAGTTGGTACAGCGTACCTGTCACCCTCCACAGTGTACTCTACTCAGCACTGCTACTCTGTCTGTAGACCTCCCCAGGTTCCCAGGGGTTCAAGCAGCACCTGGCTCCTCACCATCCGTCAAACCCTTCACTTCAAACTCGCACTCAGTAGTCTCTCGAAATTCTGAAGTAGTACGAGTCGTTTGATGTACTTGTTGCCGTTGTCTCGTTATTGTAATCCACCGTTTTTAGGCCTTCTTTTTTTTCTCTCTCTACTTTCCTTGTAGCTTGTGGAAGAACCCGAAGGTTGTATCCCGCCGGATCGCCATCTTGAACTTCTTCCTCTTCTCTTCCTCCCTCTCTCTCCATCCTCCTCTCCCACCCTCTCTCCCACTCTCTACCCACGTCCTCCAACCCACTCTTACTCAATGATGTCCGCGACTTAAGCCCACCATGGGCCCCCATCCCCCTTGAAAAAACCGCTCAAGTCCGATGCTTGGTGCTTGATCTGGGTGAGTAATCCCCAAGCTCTTTTATTTCCGGAAAGAAGTACCTGCCCAGCATCCTTGCAAGCTTGGAGACCCCAAACTTCCTTTCGTCGATGTTGACTGGATGCGATTTCGTGGGGCTCTGCTGCAGGGCGACAATCACCGCAGGCTTTTGGCATTCACATGAGCACATCCCCTTGTTTTCTCTCGCCAGAAACCCCCAACCTTTCCAGGCCAGGTGTATCCTGGAGTATCCTGGAGACCGGGTTTATCAAACTGTTCTTGTTCTTATTTCCCTGTATTTTTCTCCTTCTCCAATTCTTCCCCCTTCTTTCCCGACGGCCCCATGATCTTCTCGCGTTCCTGCGTCTGCAAGAATTCTTCAATTGCTGTTTTGTCGGCATCCGGAGAATTTATGCTGATCTTGACCTTCCTTTCCTCGGCGTTGGAGTTCTGTTTCGCCGTGGTTCGCTGCTAACTCTGCATTTCAAAGAGCTGCTGCCAAGTTCGAATCCAAGCTCCAAGCCCGCCAAACTCCCCTGCACCCTGGGCACTTAATTGCCTTGGCAGCTTGCTGCAGCTGTGGACACCCTTGAGAGCCTGTCCACTGATATCAAACGAGCAAGCCTCTGCTCTTTCTCAACATTCCACGACATCCATGGGATGGGCATAACTTCAAGAGCACCTCACAACGAAATTGTCACTATGAAGTTTGGTAAAAAGTTGGTGTTGTTCTATCCCCCCTTCTGAGGGAGAATTTGGCTCTTTCAAATTTCTTCATTTTGGCTAGTTGAATGAACTATGCAAGCTCTGGTCATATCATTGATGCTCAACCCCAGAGCTCGCTGACTCTTCCTTGCATGCAGCCTCCCCCGAAACCAGGTGCCTGAATGGGCTGCCTTTTACATCAATTACAAGGGGCTTAAAAAGCTGGTTAAGGCAGCTGAGATTGCCTCACAAAAAGGAGAACCAGTTGATTTGGCGGGTAAGTACCTGATTAATCAGGCTTAGCTTCAAACCTTCACTATCCAATTATTACTGCCTTCTTTGCCTGTCCACTTGTCTGCTTAATAACTGACTTTGGCACTTTCAAGAGTTCTTCTTTGCTCTTGATCGTAACCTGGAGGATGTAGATTCCTTCTACAATAAGAAGCTGGCTGATGCTCTTCGGCGGCTTAACCTCCTCAACGAGCGATATGGCTATGTCCCCGAGGTAGTCCCCACCCTTGATGCGGATGAGATTGAAGAGCTTATCGGCGCCCTCCTCGAACTGAGACATCAGTTACGCAATCTCCAGTGGTTTGGCGAGATCAACCGCAAGGGCTTTGTCAAGATCACCAAGAAGCTGGACAAGAAGGTTCCCCATGCGGCCACCCAACATCGGTACATCTCTACCAAGGTCGATCCCAAGCCTTTCGCCAAAGACATGAATGTCACCCGTCGCCTTGCCGAGATCAACAAGTGGCTCTCCGTCCTCGGAGACGCGCAGAACGCCGATGATGCCAAATCTGATCGCTCCAGCCGGTCGCTTGGCCGGGCATCTGCAAAGGGTGCCACCAACTTGCCTCAGTCTCGTCTTGATGCTCTCGACCAAGCAGCTCGCGCCGATGACGTGACGTCTCTTGAGACGAATCTCCAAGAGACGAATGCCCTCAATGAACCCTCTTTCCAGCCACTCCTCCTCAACCTCCTTCAGAGGTCCATCACATCCCGCTCCAAAAAGTGCATCGAGTACCTCCTCGGCAAGATCAAGACCCTCGATGAACCTGACGATATCAATTCGCGAAATTGCATCCACCGCCTAGTTATGCACATAGGCAGGACGAAGACATCGGCTTCGAAAGAGCATAGCACAAATACCTACCCCTTCCATGGCGGCACCCAGTTCAGCTCTCAGTATCTGCAGCCTGCGGCTTCCGCTGCCTCCTCGCCGAAGGCCCTCAACCAGAACGAGGCGGGCCTACTTGGCAAGGACGACGAAGCGGTTCGACTTCTAATCTATCTCCTCGACAAGCTTTCCCCCGAACAGAGGCCCGCGCTGAAAAGCAAGGACTCCTTCGGCAGGCTTCCACTTCACTATGCCGCCCACTTCGGCTTCGTCGTATTGTGCGAAATCATAGCGGCGAAGATGAAGGAGTGGGGCCAGTTTACCCTCGAAGACGATCTCGACTCTCCCGAATGGCAAGATGTGGACGGCCACGGACCCCTCCACTTGAGCGTTATCGGCGGTCATCCTAAGACAACCCAAGCTCTGCTTACTGCTATGAGCAAGAAGCAACAACCTACAAGCAACGGTGCGGTTGAGGTAACTAACCTGCCAGTCTCAAAATCCGGCGCCATCCTCGGACTGGCGACAAAGGCAAATTTTGGCGTGATTGTCAAAATGCTCGTTGACGCCGGTTTAGACATAAATTGGCAAGACAAGGCCGGCGAGACCGCTCTCCATATTGCGGCACGCTTTGGTCACACCGAGTGTGCCAAGGTTCTTATCGAGGGAACGGCGGATCAGAAGGCCGATATCGAAATCATCGAGTCTAACTATGCGTGGACGCCTCTCCATGTGGCAGCCGTCGATGGCCAGCTCGAGATTGTCAAGCTCCTAGTCGATGCCGGAGCGGACCTCGCGAAACCAGACTCGTCTGGCTGGGTAGCCAAGGAGCATGCAGCGCTGCGCGGACACATGGAGATTGCGCGTCTCCTAGACTCCCGGATGAGGGATGCACATGTGACCGAGGGCAAGCCATCTAGAAGCCCAAGCCCTCGTCCCGAGAATGCCTCGATCCAAGAGCGCCGCTCTAACGGTGCTGCCTCGAAACCGATCGAGTTGGTCAAGTCATTCGGTCATCGCTACCTAACCAACGAAAGCCTTATCCTCGTCAGCCTTGGCTCCATGGACATGAGGAAGAACGTAGAAGCCGTTAGTCTCGAGAAAGTCCCTCTCACCGAAGCGCATCTCACGGGCCTCGATACTGCGTTGTCCGTTGTTGTATCCGCAAGCGGTGCGCAGGGCGAACCTACTATCATCGATCTCCCCGCGCACGAAAACATCGCGACCGAGCCCGTCGTCTTCACGGCGCAAGATGCTACCAAGGTCAAGATTCTGTTCGACATTGTTCCCACGTACTCTGGAAACGCCAAGGACAAGATTGGCCGGGGCGTAGCGCTTTTGTCGTCCATCCGACCCGTCGTCGGTACGAAGAGGATGAGCCTTCAGGGAGACGTGTGCGTTCCTATCATGGCGGGAAATCTCGAGGTCATCGGAACTGTGAACTTCAATTTCCTCATAGTCACGCCGTTCTCGCATCCCAAGATGGAGATTACGTCGAAGCAGACTTACTGGAAGAAGCTTGCGGATACCATGGTCATCGGGCACCGTGGCCTCGGCAAGAACGTGTCGTCCACTCGGTCGCTGCAGCTCGGAGAAAACACAGTTCCTTCGTTCATCGCTGCGGCCAATCTCGGTGCGCAATACGTCGAATTCGACGTTCAGCTAACCAAGGACCACGTTCCGGTTATCTATCACGACTTCCTCGTTAGCGAGACGGGTATCGACGCGCCGGTGCATACTCTGACGTTGGAGCAATTCTTGCACATCAACCCGGACTCCACTCGCTCCATGCACAAGGACCAGAACTTGAGAGACCCACGAATGCGACCCCGGAGCAGCAGCCTCGACGCTAGGAAGTCTGTAAACGCACTCGTCGAGGAGATAAAGAAGCGCACGGAAATGGAAGAGCGGATGCGGCACACGCGGGACTTCAAGAGCAAAGGCTACAAGGCCAACTCGCGCGGCAACTTCATCCAGGCCCCCTTCGCGACACTCGAGGACCTCTTCCGCAAGATCCCCGAACACGTGGGGTTCAACATCGAGATGAAGTACCCTATGCTCCACGAGACCGAGGAGCACGAGATGGACACGTACGCCGTCGAGCTGAACTCCTTCTGCGATACGGTCCTCTCCAAGGTGTACGACTTGGCCGGCGACCGCCACATCATCTTCTCGTCGTTCAACCCGGACATCTGCCTCTGCCTCAGCTTCAAGCAGCCGTCAATCCCTATCATGTTTCTGACGGACGCGGGGACGGCCCCCGTCGGCGACGTGAGGGCGTCGTCGCTGCAGGAAGCAATTCGGTTCGCGAGCCGGTGGAATCTGCTGGGGACGGTGAGCGCGGCGGAACCATTTGTCAATAGCCCGAGGCTTGTGAGGGTTGTTAAGGAGAGGGGGTTGGTGTGTGTAAGCTATGGTGTACTGAATAATGACCCCATCATGGTCCAGGTATGTTCACTTCTATCCTTGAAACTCCATCCCCCCTTCATCACGCGATGATGGCGTTAAATTACGTATTAATAACTCTTTTTTCTACAGAGGCAAGTCAAGGAGGGCATCGACGCTGTCATTGTCGACAACGTACTCGCCATTCGCAAGGGTCTAACGACGAACAACGACCGAGGAGTTGTGGATCAGGAAGACTCCACGACGGTGCTACAGGACATAACGACGAAGGAAAACCTGGGCGTTGTCGGATCATAACTGTTTTTCTACTTCTTTTATTTTCCGATTTTCATTTTCTCACGAGCTTTTCAACCTCTCTTGTGTGAGGTGAGGGAAACATTTCTCATGGCAGGACGGTACACATATTTGTAGCATTTTCTGTGGCGCGATAGATTTTTTTTTTTTCTCTCTTACGTTTTGAAGGCCGGTTCAACACGGCTTGTTGATAGAGGATATGAGTTTATGAAATGAGAAGATGGTTTGAACCCTCAGGGCGAACGTCCCTGGAATATCCAGCAGTCTAAATGTCCAGACTCTCTTTCGTCGAGGTTAAAGGTTAACGGCAAACTACTTCGACTTTCCGTGTATGATCTGATATTGACCCGATCCCCCTCCTTCTCTTCTTTTCCAAAGACGACAAAGACTTGAGCTTTGAACTCCTTCAGCCTCGCCCGGGAATCCGGAACCCGAAGGCTTGGCTTTACATGCAAGTGGCGTAAGAGTGTGTTGACGGCGACTTTGGCTGGTCTAGTTTACATAGGTGGGATCCTTCCCAAGCGAGGGGGAAAGTCGGGGAAAGTTGCCTAATTAGATTTACATAGTTTAATGGCGTTTGTCTACTAGGATCTGAGCTAGCATCTTAGTATTACCAAACAACTGGGAGAGCTCGGATACACGCCGGACTCGTGAGCACCGACAGCTCATCTTACTTCGTAGGCTCGAAGAAGAAGAGCGGCTTTGGATGAGTTTACACCCCCCCTTCGTCTCGGTACTAGGTTAGTCCTCGAAGGGATCACGCTCTTTTGGTAGTTCACTTGTAAACTTCATGATGTCGTCGGTGAGGCAGACCGGTTAGCCCCATCCCCACCACGACCGGGAATGCCCAGCCAGACTGCGCAGGTTGGCGTTATCCTTTACCGGGTACAAACATGAATTCTTCCGTCTTCCCTCCGCCATCCTCCGCCACTGGTATTGTGTTTCGGGAATTTCCATGTGGCTCGAAGTAGTTTGCTTCATATTGTTTGTGAGCTACCAAACATCTATTGCAAAGTCGGGCTTTCTCAGCTGCTTGTTTTCTTGCTTCTACCGACATGCCGAGAACAAGAAGACTGCAAAGGAGACTCAACCACCCAAAGCGACCAGGCTCTTTGAGCATCGTGTCCTCAATGCAGAAGTAGCAAAGATACCGTGGGCCTCGACATATAGATTCTAAGAAATTCTAAGAACAAGCAAAGAGCAATGGTCTTTGGAAAGGGCCAGTGGAGAGCCCAATTCGAACGCAAGGCAACCGGCAGCTATGTCATGCACCGGCAACTCCTGACTTATCATCTAATGAGAAAGCAACATAGAGCTGGCAGACAATGGTGTTTGTTCTGGTCTGGATGATGATAAGCTCCTAGGAATCCTTTGCTTCTAGATGTCTCCAAATATTCTATAAATCCTGTTGCTGATCAGTTTCCCGGAGATCTCCAGAGCCATGAGGTTGTCTGAATCTTACAGCTAGCCAAGCATCAACAGCCTCGCTGCTACCAACATGTCCATCTTCTTTAGACTCCCACCCGAACTCCGCAACCAGATCTACGGGCTTTGCTTACTATACCCAAAAGCTATTCACCCCGGGTATTACTTCAACTTTCAACGACGGCATGTCGCAGTTAAGCTCTTCTACGTGAGCAAGGCTGTCCACCGCGAGGCCAGCTCATTCTTCTACAGCAAGAACTGCTTCGACCTCACCAGACTCAAGGTTGCGGAAGCCTCGTTCCTGACGGCAATCGGCCGCAACGCAGACTATATCCGGCACGTCTGTATCAACTTCCCGTGGTTCCGCACTCTTGAACCCGACAGTATCACTCTATTCGACTTGAGCCTTGGCTGGGTTGTGAAGATACGAAACAGCTGCCCCAACGTGGCCACCATTACGACAACTCTGTCTAGCTCGGATTACCTGGAGTGGAGGCTCGATGAACTTGGCCACCCCGAGGTTGTCGATGAGGCGTTGGAGATGGTCGATACTCACTTCCGATCGATTTCGTCGCTGCCGAAGATTATCGTTCAGCTGTGGAAGAAACGGGCCAAGGAGCATATAAGAAGGAAAATGGAGAGTCGCGGATGGAGAATCAAGACGACGGAATATGTGGAAGAGGAGGCTGGATTTGATATGGCCCTCCTTTCTGGTCAGGATGTTAGTTACGATGGTAGTGGCGGCGGTGGTGAATGGCAGTGGTTGTCATGGTGGTGACGATGGCGGTGATGGCGGTGATATGGACGATGGCGGCGACTTTGGGGGATACGAGGCAGATTGAACTTCATCGCTTCATCGTATCTTGATCCAGGTACATTGGATGTATCATGTATGCATACGTAAGCGCAAGCGACGGTGGTGAACGCGCTCTTTACGGTAGCTGCGAAGACTCCAGTCATCTCCCATCTATCAAAGGAAGTACGAAGTAGGAACCAGAATTGACTCATTGGACCCAGTCTCAGTAATTGTAGTTTAATTGCTGTCTAACCTGGGAAACCCCATTTTGCCTTTTCCCGCTTTTGCCTTTGGTTAAGCAAAGTACGATGTACCCGGGGATTGTGGGGGAAGGCGCAACCGGCAGGCAGGATCTCGATGGTTTTGGGTTGGAAATGAGCGGACTTGACCATCACACCGACCCCGACACCGAAAAACTAACACCAACACCAACACCAACACGAACACTGGCACTGACACTGACACTGACACCGAAAAATCCCACATCGGAGTTCCTTGCCGACATTCCGCCAACTTGCAGGGTCCAAAACCAATATTGGATCATGAAAATGCAAGTCCCACGCCACACACACCGCGCCCCCTTGCCTGTCACCAGGAGGCAGAAGGCGGACGACTAATAGAGGAGTGATGGTAATGTCTCTGACTGCGTCCTGTAGACATGGGCTTGGCGGAAGGGATGGGCAGACAAGGGCGTTATGGCGAATGTCCCTCTCCGGCCTACGAAGTCCAGCGTCGTCTCTTTTCCCATCCATGGTTTCTCCACCTCCCCGGCCGCGCCTCTTCTTCCCTGGACAGTGGACACACAAGGATGCCATTATTATCTGGCTTCTTAGTCAAGGAAACTCGAGGTCCTGGCTCTGTTGATACTAGGAGCTCTTAGTGCAGCGTGCTAAAGCGACGCCAATCCTAGTTTAATTCGAGACCATCTCAGGACATTTGCGGGGGTGCTGCTCTCATCCCAACCCAACACGGCCTGGCGACCAAGGTAACTGCGAGCCGGAGTCTGGTTATCCCTTGGTGATGCGCGGCGACCGCTTCGAGTAAGTTGTCTCGTGCCTGGGTCCATGGGAGTGCTCCGTACTCGTGCTAACCCCTCAAGACTAGCGTTCCTATTTTACTCTACGCCATTTTATTCCAACCAAATTTAGTGATTGGCCCGGGTCTTCAAGATCTCAATTTGGATCACCTCTCTTTCCCAAGGGCCATCCTCGCGAGAGCCGGTAGGCCCCAAGCTCCTCACGAAGGACAAGCAACAGAGCAGAGGCTGGCGCCTCAGTCCTGACAGTGCTCTCAGCCCTGGCTAGCTAGCGGCAGTCGTTGATACTCTACGAACATTGAAGCCAGTCTCCGGAAGATCCGTCGTTCGAGACAGATGCATGCCTCCGTGCTCATTGCTCCTCCTGCGCTTCATGCTGCCGAGCGGAAATTATGTGATGCTAGGATGCCGGAAGCTAGCTAGCACCGGCAGACTATTAGCGTCCTGGCTCCCAGTCTACGAGATTGCTCGGCGAATTGCTGATTTAGGACACTATTACTTCGTTCCACCTTTACGAAGTAGGATAGGTGAGTGTTCGATTACTAGGAGACATTGGATGCCCCAGACTTGCCTGGCTTCTGTCCTCTCTTCCACCACTGTTCGTGGGCCTCTCATCCACTCCACCCACATCGAGATTGCTCTTGCCCAACCACTGTCCCTTCCTTGCTGCTTCGTACTATTAATTAGTCTTCTAAAGATGGAAAGACCGTGCGTTGATCCTCCTTGGAAGCGCTCTGGCCTTCTCGTACCTGTCTGGACGAAATACGAAGTACCTTGCAAGGCAGCTCGTCGACACCACCCTCCAACGCCGGGATGAACGTCCCTTCCTTTCCCCTTCCATGTTCTGCACAGACTAAAACGCCATTGCACACAATTGTTGAAGTAAGAATAAGGTGCTCAAGTTTCATCGCTTCGCTTCGTACGTACAGTAGAAGGCGAAATGGGTGTCGCGAGTTTTTTAGTTAACCCTTTTAGTGAGTCGCGGGGTTGGTCTGTGGCTCGTGTGACTTCAAGTGATGCGCTTGTAGTGAGCAGGTACTGCGAGAACAGTTCTGTACTGTACTGCATGTATAGCTGCTCGCATGACGGCCGGTATTAATGGGCATTTGGGACTCGCTTCGCAGTCAGCTGCACTTTGGTAACGTCGCCACCGTGGATAAGGCATCTCTGGAAACGTCTCGCTGCTGGGGGGATTTCTTCCGTATGTTTTGGCATTCTCGCTTCTCCTATATATGCGTTGACTTCGATAGCCGTGACACTCTTAATCAAATGTATACTGACGGAAGGCAAAGTGATTGTCGGAGCCAGGATAGGAGGCGGACATATAGAGGAGGGAAAAGAGTAGGAATCAGAGAATTAGCCAGCCAGTTCGGATCGATAGCTACTTCCGTCCATGGCTCGAAGAGTCTCAGACCGTCAGATGCACTTATGCCACAAAAGTTGGATTTAATACTCCACACATTCTTTCCCTTACCTACCCCTTGAGGCCTTCCGAAACATTTCCAAGAGTCCCGCCCTCCAAAGCCTTGATGAAATACTCGTAAACTTGATGCAGAGACATTTCGTAGTTCGGGAAAATCCTGTCCTTCACATCACGGCCTTCCGTCAAATTCAGAAGAGCAAATATCTTATCCCGAGGGTCTGTAGCACTTCTATGCCGCATGGCATAAACAACATCTAAGATGTCCGGCGACAGGAGTTCCTCGGAAGTATTTGCTTGCCTCAACTGAAGTTCAAGTAGACTGA